GGGTGGCCCTGGCTGCCCTGTAAGGGTGGGACGCGGGGGGGGGAGGTCCGAGAGGACAAGAGGGAGAGGCGTGGAGAGCGGGAAACGCCCGGCCGCTGCCAGTTAGAGGCCCAGCAGCTACTGCAATAAAAACCCCAAGTTTGGGAGTCTGAAAGTCAAAATGGAACTTTTTTCCTTCAAAAAAGCAGAACTGCTCAAAGGCAACTACTTGAGGCACCTCAGGGCTGAACGGCCCTTCGCAGAGGAAGCCTTGCGTGGAAATGAAAATGTTTACACGGCCAACAGGTCACTGGCCGTGCGCCACACAGGGCGCTGGCCAGTGGTCACGCAAAGGGCCGGGAGCAGGTCTGCAGGCCCTCGGCGGCAGGGGCTGGCAGCTTCCGCTCATCCTGACACGTGGGATGGCCTCAAAGGTATGAGGGGTGGCTTGGGCTGCTCCCTCCTGGTTCCCTGCCCCTCCCCAGGGCCGTCCTCAGAGGGCGGGAGGATCCAGAACAGCTGGCCACCTCCCAGAATCCACGGAAGGCTTGCTGGGAAGCTGGGGCTGCAGGGCGTGGTGGACTAGGACACGGGGCGGCCAGCAGGGGCAAGGCGGGAACAGCGCCATTTCCAAAGGGCCTGAAATCCTGGTTTGCTCTGGGTTTGGGGACGAGCTGGAGACGGCAGCCAGACATCATGACTCAGCAGTCTTGGAAAGGGACTCTGGGCTCTCAGGTGAGCACAGGAGTCCCATTGGGCAGGCAGAGGGGCCAGGCCCCACCTGGACCAGGACGGACAGAGGCATCTAGGCTGATGCTGGGAGGTGGGCGGGGCTCCCGAGGGCCTGGCACCCAGCCCCGCCCACCCGAGACCTAGCTGGAAGCGGAGGCACCTTACCATTTATTCACAAATTCCTGGAAGTCCTGGGTGAAGACGCCGCTGGGCAGCTTGGGAGGAGGCTGGGGAGAGAACAGATGGGTGGGAGTCAGATGCTCATGGATGGCTCTGGAATCACGGAGGGGAAGACACTTCCCAGCCCTTCACTCGTGAGGACAGCCCAGCACTTCTGGGGACCCCCAGGATGCACTTGTCCTGGTCCTGTCCCTTCGGCCTGCTGGAGGCAGAGGGGACACCCACTCTCTCCCCTCCAGCAGCTCCCCTGCGGGCCCTGCCACCAGGTCGTGCTCTGCCAGGGTTTTCCTTCCAAAGCCCTCATCTGGGAATCACGTTGGTTCTACAGAGAAGCAGCGCAGGCTCGCTGAACCTCATGGACGAGGGTGGTCTCGACCACGTGTCATTCTGTCTGGGCCACCTGTCTCTGCGGGTGTCCCGACAGGGGCAGCTGGTTCTAGGTGTTGGGGCTGAAAGCCGGGGGAGCTCAAGGAGGCTGGCCTGGCACATGTCTCAAAGTGGGGACAGCCATGTGCAGGGTCAGGCCCTGCCGGAAGTTAGTGGGCAGAGACTGAGCCAGCGATCCCACCAGTCCTCCTCCTCGGCCAGCTCCGCCTGCCCAGTGCTGGGACGCAGACTTTCCGCCAGGGGTGGCCTCCCCGGGCGGACGTGCTGGGCCTGGGCGGCACCGCCAGGCGCAGGCAGAGCCGCCCCGCCCTGCTCTGTCGCCATGGCCTGCTCACCTTGATGCTCGCCCTACACTGAGCCCCACACCGCAGGCCGCCAGCCGCCAGCCGCCCTGCCTATCTGCCCTGACTCCAAAGGGCCACCAGAAACACATGTCAGCCCACTGAGGCCCGGGGAGGGTGACCGGGCCATGCTGAGAGGTGAGGCGCTGGAGTCAGGTCCAGCTCCACTGAGGCCCCAAGCAGGCCACTCCCACGCTTCAGCCCGACTCGTCTGTAGTCGGGAACACTCAGGCTCCATGGCGAGGCCTCTGTGCCTCCTCCCCAGAGAAGCGGGGACGATTTCTGGCTTCATGCACCCTGACTCCAAGATGCTTGGAGAGATGCTGGGTTATAGAGCCCGGGGGTGGAGGGGGCCCACCTGGCTCCTTGGCCCAAGCACTTGGCTACTGGCCTTGGAGGGAGGGGGCTGCGGAGGGAATTGTGGGTTCATCTCTGAGGGAATTGTGGGTTCATCACAAAGGAAAATTGCCCTCGAGGAGTGGGTTTCTCCAGTCTGGCTGGAAGGCAGGCCATGCCCAAGAACCTCCTACCGAGGAGTGGTCTGCGTCCCTCCCCCGGCCCCCTTCCCAGCAAAAGCCGCGGTCTGCGTGTCGAGTCCCCTTCTCTCTGGTGTACCCCTGCAGCGACAGCCTTGCGGTACGCACCTCGTTCACAATGTAGTCCAGCAGTTCGAAGATGGCCATGGCCGGCCGGCTGTCCATCCCGTGACCTGCCGGGGAACACAAATGGGGTGAGGTGGGCAGGTGGCCACTGCACTCCCGCTAGGCGTCAAGGTCTGGGCATGCTGAGAGCAGCCCGGCAGGCTTCTCCCCACACTCCCCTGGCCCAGAGGCCCCGCCACTGAGTTCACTCCCTGGGAAAGGAACTGCACTCCTGAGTCTCTGGTGAATTAAAGAAAATAATAAAACACCAAAATGAGCAGGAGCATTTTTTGAAGAGTCCCACATTTGGCACGGTACCACACATGAACAGTGCCAAAGTCACAATTCCTGGCTTTGTGGCACACAGGCGGAGCGTGCTGGGGGGTGGGGGGTGGTGGTTTGCTGACTGCAAGCAAGGGCAGCAGCGTGACCTTGCACGGAGCCACGAGTGGAGACAGCAGCAGGACCCAAATGCGCCCCAGGACGGGTGGCTGGCTCGGGGTGGCTGACCCCTGTCCGAGGCCCAGCTGGCCGGGTCTGGGTTTGGCGGCTGGACTTTCCCCTTCTGTCCCGTTTGGAAATGGGCACTGGGGCTGGGGGAGGGCGCTGGCCTGGTATGACTCGCTGCCCCTCCCGACTGGGAGGGGGTGACAGCGGTATACCGGGAGGCCACCTGGGAGCCGGACTGGGAGGGGGAGGGCCCGGGCCCAGGGACACAGATGGAGGGTAGCAGTCTTTCCC